AAGTTATTCAATCAATTTGACTTTGGCGTGTATGGAGTGCAGCCGAAGCTTAGGCTATCTCAAAGCCTGGGTAAATTAATAAATTTCCATCTATCTTTCAGGCAGAAGTCTACGAAATTATTGAATGTGAGGAAGCTAACCTGAGAAAAAATTATGCCAACCACATACTTTACATTAACTCAGTCAGGCCGCACTGGAGGCCTTAAAATCCAACTTAATCACCTTCTAAAACAATCCTTTAAGGCATGTTCAGACACGCCAGGATTAAGTCATTCCATTCCAAAGCTCTCATAAAAGCCTATGACCGAAAATACTCTAAGCAGATCATAGAACTGAGTAGGATCAAAATGCGCATATTAGTTCGAGCCCTCACTGGACACAGCAGCTTAAACACGCACTTGTCCACTATGGGACAGTCCGAATCAAGAACGTGCAGGATGTGCCAAGAGGCAGATGAAACGCCACTACACATTCTCGCGGACTGCGGACCTTTGATGCGCAAGCGGAGCTTACACCTGGGCAAACACATTCTAAGCCCACAAGATGTAAAACATATCACCCCCCAAAAGATACTGCAATTCCTAATGGATGCAGGACTCGGAGGCGAACTGTAAGGAAAATAGCGGCAATCACTATAGATCGTTACCGGTCGCAGTGATACTACTAGACTATATTGAAATACATATAGACTTTATTGAACTAGAATTGCCGCTCAACTCAATAAAAATAGTTCTTCTGCGTTCGAAACACATATTAGTACAGTATAGGAGAGGAATAAATTGCAAATAGTTGATACAGTATCAGTATCGGCGCGCCGACAGCTGGTCGTCGGCGGCGGCGGCGTGAAAAAATTCGCGGCGGCGGCGGCGCGCCGGCGTGGCGCCCACCTCTAATTGAGACGTGGGCAGTGCTGCAGTCTCTCCAGCGGTGCCGTATCGACTATCGGTACATCGAGGTACTAAAGTGCTTGTACAAAAACGCCACCATGTCGGTCCGAGTACAGGAGCAAAGCACGAGGGCGATTCCTCTACAGCGAGGCGTAAGACAGGGAGATGTTATATCTCCGAAACTCTTCACCGCGGCATTGGAAGACGCTTTCAAACTCCTGGAATGGAAAGGATACGGCATAAACGTTAACGGCGAGTACATCACTCACCTTCGGTTTGCCGACGATATCGTGGTCATGGCAGAATCGCTGGAGGACCTCGGCACCATGCTCGAAGACCTTAATCGAGTTTCCTAACAGGTAGGCCTTCGGATGAACATGGACAAAACGAAGCTTATGTCGAACGTCCATGTTGCGCCCTACCCGGTGTCGGTTGGAAACTATTTAATTTAAAGAAAAATATTTAAAAATTGTATTTAGAAAATTATAAGCAAAGTTATCGCTAAAAGCTTCGCTATATTGCTTAGCACCAAAGCAACTTAACGATGCAATGTACAGAAATAGTGAAACTGACTGCAAAAGTGTATCTTAAAATAACGCTTATTTTCAGCTTAAACACTCAGCACTACATTTACGAATAATTTACAGGCACAAAACCTTAATTGGCATGGAAAGTGACATTGACAGTATCGATATCGCAAGTAGAAAACTTTGTACAAAGTAAAATATCTTGTTTGTACAGCATCATTTAATTGCGAAACGGAATCCCGAAATTCCGTTAAAGCGACATTCTGAAAGCATATTTGACACACACCACTCACATTCACTCTGTATAGGGTTGCCAACATTTTATGTTCGAAAAAAGAGTTAAAAAACATACTTACAGGTCTGACAGTCAAAAATATCCTAGAAAAAATAACTGTTTTTTTAATAAATACACTTTTTATCTTAGAGCATAGCTTTTAAGTTTGAGTGACGCTTAATAAAGTTTTTGTTAGCTTTATATTTATTTGGGTTAGTAGTACCTAGTTTCGCACGAATTTCAATAATAACTTTTTTTAGTAGGCGTTTCGCCCGGTTGTATTAAAAGTATTAAAATCGCGTGCGAATCGACTCTTTTTTGAACTAGTAGTATACGATTACTAGTTCTCAAAGGGGTCTATTCGCACCCGTTTTTAATACTTTTGATACATCAGGGCGAAACGCCTACTAAAAAAAAAATTTTTTGAAAGGGGACGTTTCGCACATTCGTGCGAAGGAAAATCGTGCGAAACTACACGGCTGAACCATTTAAGAACCTAGTAAGGGACACTTTTTCAGATTTTCGTTTTTTGTCATAAATCACCTTAGAATTAAGGTCTCCACAGGATGTGAAGACAGAAATCGCTCTATTACACTTAACACCGGAGAAACGCGTTGCTAAAAACCTAGTAAGTCCAATTAAAATTTGCAAAAACCATTATCAAAACCTAGCAAGTTACAATGACCATTTAAAACCTAGTAAGTGCATGGACTTACTAGGTTTCAAAATGGTCAATGTGACTTACTAGAGGTAAAATGCTACTGTAATTTAAATATATTTCAAGTTCTGTTGGCTGACACTCGATAACCATATCAAAATCTGGGGACTACATGAGTACTGATTCATATTCGATTTTGATTTTGATTTTTACGAGGCACTTTTGTCAAAAAAATAATTTTTAGTGTTAGTAAAGAGCATAAAACTTGCAATTTTTAACTAAATATATTATTTTATTCCATAAAGTATACTCTAGTAACTAATCTTTAATATAAACATCGGAAGTTATCCAAATCTTTAAGCATCTTAGCAGGGCAAATGAAAATGCGTTTTTTCGCTCTCCTGTAAAATTTGCTCCGCTGCACTTACTAGGTTCTTAAATGGTTCAGCCGTACTACTAACCCTTATATTTTAAACACTAATAAGTTGCACAGCTTTTAATAACCCTGCTCTACCTATCCCTCTCAGTCATAAACCTGCGTGAATATTCTTTAATAACCCGCTCTTAATACTTAGTTCAAATGTGGCACACGGTCCATTCACTGAAGTATTAAAATAATAAACAACTTTAATAATTGAAATGTCAAAATAAACTAGGCCATGTGAGATACCTGTATGCGTCAACGAAGAAAAATTACATGTGCTGTCAATATGTAGGTAAGTTGAAGACATAATTGGTGGCCCCTGGTCTGATGCTTCATAAAGATCGATGACAACTGATGCAGTTGCGGGTTCGATTCCTGCCAGTGACAAATGCTAATGCGATTACAAAAAGGTCCAGAGCTTAGGGAGTATAAGCCAAGTCCTACATTTGCCTCAGGTAAATAAGTGCTCCTGTAGTGGAGTCTGAAATGACCTTTTATGATGATCTATGTCTATTAATGCTTGCAAGCATACAAATACATTTACGCCCGTATTCACAAACAGTACTATGAGGTCTCACAGTGCCCGTGGACGCACAGGGTGACTCACGAACCAATCACAGAGTTCTTCGATTTGCTGCTTCACTTAAGCAAGCATCGCTTGTGAATACAGGCTTTAGTCAGCACAGTATACCTGTAAATAAAACTAAGGCCGCTATAGTTTTTTAGTATTATTTATCATAGCAAACTATCGACGCGTGTAGAGACGTGCTTAGTATAACATTATCATGAAAATATTTTTATTATTCGCCTGACTTTACTTTTTTTTTTTTTTTTTCCATTTATTAATTTAGGGACTTTTACCTAGTATGTCAGTCCCATCATAACCTAATCGTAAACTAAATAACCAAAAAATTAAAAATAACTAAACAAAAAGAACGAGTAGCTGTCACTGGAGAATCACGGAAACCATGTCGCAAATAGACTTTACTTTGCTTTTTTGCTGTTAAAACATGCCTAGTATAGTAATTAATCTCATTTGTATTAATCAAGGATCCATGTACCTAATCTACTTTACATAAACACACTTTACTTTTATTAATGCTCAATTATTATTTTTATTATGTCCAGTATATTATGGACCATGTTTATAAAGAAACTACGTGAGTAGAGCTGACTCTAAACAATACGATCCATACTAATGCTATGAATATGAAAAAGTCTTGTATGTCGGTCTGCTTTTAGTTTTCACGAAAAAACCGTTGGAGTCATGATTAAATTGGTAGAAATGGGATCTAAGAGGAGCTGGCTAACTTGTAGCTTTTATGTAAATAAGGTCGAGTGAAGCGATGGCTGGTTCTTTCGTCATGTCTGTGAACAGGCGCTGCTTTCGGGGACTGGTCAATCCAAGTTTTTCAAATTTATGTATGCGAGTCATTTCTACTAGTATTTAAGTATCTCAGCACTTGCCAAATGTTGGTCTCGAAGCGCTGGTAGGGTATAAAAATTATGAGACATGTAGAGGCTCCTTAAGAGCAAAATGACGATTTGTAAGAACTATTTATTAATCTTAACAAATAAAGAAATTTTGACTTTGACTTTGTATAAAGGAGATTCCTCTAGCTGTAAGCGATATAAAATTTGATATTTATAAAGAATGTGTCGTTGACTTACTGCAACCTACGTGGGCAAAGCCACAGGTGAAGCACTAGTATACATTTATTTATTTAAAAACTTTATTGCACACACAAAAAAGCGGCACAAAAAGGCGAACTTAATGCCATATGGCATTCTCTACCAGCTAACTTTAGGCAAAACATAGACTTGAAAAAGAAACGAGTTGTCCTTGTCTCTCATTCACTAAAATCAAAATCAAAATCAAAAATATTTATTCAGTTTAGACCACAAGTGGCACTTTGTAACTTATTCGCGAAACGACGCGCTACTTTACCTGCTTAACGGAGTTAGTCGTTTTCTCCGGACACTGTTTGACTCAACGTCCATTGCCTTTGGATGCTAGGGTTGGCGAAATGTTGATAACACGTCAGATTTTACATTTCCGTTGCAAAATAACTCATTTTACCATAGAATAGGTTTCATTTTACAATAACAGTATGCTTCAGTAACTTCAGTTAACTTGGCGCAATACGTCATTAATATGGGTAAATGATACTTACTATGATTGTATGTAATAAAAACCCCCGATTAATATACACAGTATGTTTGGGTATACTTACACCATGTTTATATGGGGCTTGAACCGCAATGCTAGACGGCTGTGGAAAAACAGGATCTTTATATAACAATAGACATGGGTTCTAAGTATTCAACGTCTAAAATAAAGAATGAAAAAAAAAGCAATATTCCCAGAAATCATTTCAATCCTTTATTTTACATCAAATTTACCCTAGTGACTATACATACAGATACGGCAATTTCAAAGCGTAATGAATAAATAACCTTTTAAAGATTTATGAATGGGGCATCTCGTAAATAACCCAAACCGTGAGTTCTCATACAATTTGTTCTTTCTTTCTTTCTCATGAAACCTTCGGAAAAATATAAATAAACTTCACTTTTTGCATTTACAGTGGGAAAAACTAAAGCATTCAACTCACAATACCTAATTATGTAGTTTTTATTAATTAATATAATAGAAACAAAAACAACATTTTAATATATTTTACAACGCCCCAAAGCAAAATTTATTAGGACTAATTTAATCGCGGGCACTTATAATCAAATACTTTATATTATTATTTTACCGCCTTTTAACTGCGTGATCAGCATAAATATACAATATTGGCTACAAAAAAGCATGAAGTTTGATGAAGTATGTAAATGTTTTTGTTCATATTATACTCTGCCAAATTTCAGAATCGTATAAATTAGACATTGACCTACCTATTGACGATTGATTTAATGCGAAATAAACAGTTTCATAGTTCTATTATCACGTTTAAGCTTAGATTAGTTTGTCCTTTTTTGCTTTATTATATGCATTTATCGCAAGATTGAACTTAAAATAATAAAAAATGTACTACCACTGAATAAGGGGTAAAATAGGGAATGAACTTTGGTATGGTGAAACCATGATCAATATTTGGAATCTAAATATTCATATCCATTTTGTCGTGATCACAGACGCGTGATAGAGGCTTTGACATACCTACCGAAATATAAAGTCAAAATCGAAAGTAATTCAATTTTGAGCAAATTGTATGGCTTTTCTCTTTCAACAACAGTTAAGTGCTTATCAAGTTTCTCTTGACAGTTTATTGTTTCTCATTAAAACATTCCGATTTTGTTACACATTTTAAGTAGTAGGTACTTATCGTGGATTACCTAAATATGTATGAGTCGCCCCATACCCCAATGACTAAAGTGTACGCTCACTTCTAAAATACAATATTATGTAATACTAGCTGTGCCGCGCGGTGTTACTCGCGGTAAAACGTAGCCTATGTGTTAATCCAAGGTGTCAGCTAACTCCATACCAAATGTTATTAAAATCGCTCCAGCCGTTTAGACGTGAAAAAGTAACAAACATACACACTCACAAACTTGCGCCTTTATAATATTTAACCCTGAACTGAACTCTTCGTTTAGGTATATGTGGGTGCAACTAAATGCAGCGATTGCCTTTGCGGCGAATTTATATTGAAATAATACAGGGTTGTTAGTATCTCCATTTATGGTCTTCATAGAGAGGATACCATACAAATTAAAAGCGCGGGCAAGCGCATTGAACGTGGGGAAACGATCGCAATGCTTCAATCACTACACTTATCTAGTTGTAGGAAAACCCTTTGCTATGTTAGGTTAAAACCGGTGGTTTGCTTAATATCTAGTTTGATCAACGTTTGAATGCATGTGCGTTAAGTTTGCATATTGTTATAATTATTTAACAAGAATCAATTTCGTTCAACACAGACACTCTTAAAAGTGTAATTAAATTAATGAATACCTACACAGTTTTTAGTTCTAAAAAAAGTTTGCATACTTACTACTACATATGAGACGGGCTTTTGTGTACAAATTGTGAGTTGTTTTAAAAATTTTGGTCTTTAACTGGTTTTCGACAATGTTTAGGTACTTACTAACCGGCTATAGACAATTATCGAAAAAGTTGTCGCAGGTTTGGTATTTTTTAATATTTTAATTGACTCAATTACCAAAAGATTTATGAGTATTTTAGTACAGTTAGAAGCGACGTCTTTTATTTCAAGATTTTTCAACTTTTTCTATCCTAAGTGATAGTAGAATATGGCTAGCTAAATAACCGTAGAAAGTGTGCATTACAAAAATGTTGTTTTAATTGTATAATATTCGTATAGTAAATTGGTTGCGGACAGTGACAGGTGCTCAAAATATCCTATTATGTTATACAAATAGTAATAAAATATTGCTATATTTAAATTGCATCTCATCTTTCATTGCACTTTTTTCACTTACCTACTTATTTCTATGAAAAGAATATTTGAAATTCACGATGCTCATTTTAATTGATGAATCGATTTTTGAATCAGATTAGTTACCCTTTGAAGTCATGAAAAAATTCTGGAGTGAAAGTACTGAATTTTTTCAAGTAATAATGAATCGACAACCCTATGCCCCAGAAAGGTACTTATCGCATGTAGCGGAACGCGAATTCGTTCTGTATCCGCAACAAGATTTGCGATACGAAACCAAAAGTGCGTGAAATATTTGCATAAACAAACAAGACCGACCTATTTTTAGGCATCATTTAGGTTAATTTGGTACATTGAATGCAAATGGTATATCTGTACTGCAATAAATAATCTGTGATAGTACAATATTTTCCGACAATTATCTGGTCTAGTTAAGGTGAATTTGTAACTTATATTATTATGAAAGTTACTTGTCAGCTATTTTCAGCTCTATGAGAGTTAATATTTAAAAAAATGGCAATCGAAAAAGCTGACCTAAGAAATTCCTAAGGCACTTGACAATTTATTAACACTTTCAGACAAAATTTTACTTAATTTTACTTAACCCCAGGCATTAGCTGTTAAATATGGAAAGTAGAATGTTAAACGCGTGATTCATTTAAAAATTAGTCATAAAGAGTTATAAGCACTACTTTTCACTTAGAGTACAGATTCTGAGAAAGACGTAGAAAACATTTACCTGCTTTTCTGTAATGAATTTTGCAATAGTACTCAATTGTCATCCATCAATGTAATGCCATATTAATGTACCATCAGTATACTGCCGCATTCTTCACGAGTATAAGTTCGATTGAGGCATAAAATGGAAAATGAGGAAGTGATTTGTAGACAATCGCATCGAAAGCTGGGTCAGTGGTCGTTCTGAACGTTGCGGATTGCTCTTTATCCGGTAATTATCACTGTTCAATCGGTGTATTTGGGTCAGTAGGTATAAAACGTAAATCGTTTCAAACTTCTGCATAATTCCTCTGCTTCTTCATCTTATCGTGTCGACAAGAAACCTACACAGTGTCAGCCCAAAACTCCTCTACTCATTGTATGAAACTTTGAGGCATGGAATTTAATGACTTAACTCTCACATAATTGAAATTAAAATTACTTGTCACAAAAATGCTGATAATAAACCTAATTTATTGACCACTTTACTAATAAGCAAATTCCATGTTTCTTTCAACCCCAATAATATATCCACAACGAGAAAGCTCTTGGCCTGCATCTCTTTTAATGAAATTCAGGAACCCACTCTAAAGAAGAAATGGTTCAATGTTTAATTAACTACTGTATTTAAGAGCCTTACACACCCGAGGTGAGACAAAAGAGATGTTACTTATAAGAGAAGTACAGTGCGTATATTACTTACTTTTTTATTTTTATTTTATTTTATTTATTTGGAAAACAAAACAGATTACATTCTTTACATGGTTTAAATAATACTTAAATGTAGATATAGACTAAAATGTAACCCTAAATATGTTTTCACAGATTTGTTATACATGCATTAGGTACAAAAATNTCGTTTAGTCGACGCAGCGTTGAAATTGTACAGATAAATGCAGTTTGCGCACTCACTACGCGACCTCAAGCAATAAAAACCTAAAATTCGAACGCCAACTTTTTGCTACAACGCTCTTAATACATCACAATGTTAAGCTGCGAAAACTCATAATACTCATTTATTTCTTTAAATAGGCTTAAAAAAAGCACTTTTGGGATTGAATTGGAATGAAAGAATAGGTTCGCAATATTATTTACCTTCACATTCGTCGTTTTAGCCGAAAGTCCACTGCTGGACAAAGGCCTCCCCCAAGGATTTCCACGAAGACCGATCCTGCGCCGCTCGCATCCAGGCACCTCCCAGATCGTCGATCCACCTAGTGAGAGGCCTGCCCACGCTACGTCTTCCGGCTCGTGGTCGCCACTCAAGAACTTTCCTGCCCCATCGGCCATCGTCTCTACGAGCTATGTGCCCCGCCCACTGCCACTTGATTTTAGCAATCCTGCGAGCTCTGTCGGTTACTTTGGTTCTCCTGCGGTCACCTTTTTTGAAGAAGAGTACCACCACACTTCTGTGCCATGTCGTAGGCGTTTTTCCTTCGAGGATGACGGAATTGAACAGCTTCTGAACCTTTTGTACCCTTTGCACCACCGGTCTGCACCACTGGTGGTGCAAAGGGTATTTTTTAATCCCTTTTGCACCACCAATAGTGCCGCCCTACCATTAACTGTAAAACGATTAGATATCTATAATCATATAATATTAATATTATAAAGAGGAAAGATTTGATTGAATAGGCTCCGAAACTACTGGACAGATTTGACAACATATTAACATAAAAATTACTAACAACCATTCATACCTACATACAACGAATAATTTCTAAAGTACCAGGGCAACATAATCATAAAGGAGCTATATCAAATTCTTCTTGGTTGACCCGAGAAATAAACATGTATCATAAAATAGCTCCTTTATGGTTATGTTGCCCTGGTACTTTATTCGTTGTATGTAGGATGTAGGCCCGGGGTATTGTGGGTCTGAAGTGAAATGTTTATAGACACACAAATTAAAACTTTTAGGTAGGTTTTGATTTATTTATAACAATTAAATTTAAATTATTAAGTATTTTAGTTAGTCAGTCTACTACTAGTTTTACAGTCGATGGTAGCACAGCACTATTTGTTGGTGGTGCAAGAGGGATTTAAAAATACCCTTTGCACCACCAGTGGTGCAGGCCGGTGGTGCAAAGGGTACAAAAGGCTTCTGAAGAGCCCTTAGTACCGGCGTTCCGCCTGCCTTCAAAAGCTCAGCCGTGATTCCATCATCACCCGGTGCCTTGTTGTTCTTCAGCTGTTTGAGAGCCATTCTAATCTCGTACAGACTGACGTCCGGGATATCTTCGGTATAGTGTCGGGTCAGTCTAGCTCTTGGGTCTTCGGCTAGATTTGTGACAGGTGTACGTACACTCGTGTATAATTGTCCGTAGAACTTCTCAACCTCTTCCAATATCTCCGGCCCCGACGAAATGGCTCTGCCATCCTCTGTCTTCAGCTTGGTCAGTTGACTTTGGCCAACAGACAGATCTCTTGCGAACACTTTAGAGCCCTTGTTTCGCTCGATCGCCTCTTTGATTTCTTTAATACCTTCACAATAATGGTATAAATAAGGATTGAAACCTACTTGTCGTATGATCCTGTCGACAGCAGGCCCGGGCGGCGCGTAGAGCACGCGGCCCATGAGCAGCGGCTTGATGAAACTCCACACCACCTTGCCGCCCTGCAGCGCCGTCACGTCTGCGTACAGCGAGCGGCAGAAATCCGCTGCGACACAAGATGTAATTTTTTTATCATTTATACTAATACTAGCTTTCCGCCCGCGGCTTCGCCCGCTTGGAATTTTGTCTGTCACAGAAAAACTATCGCGCGCGTCCCTGTTTCAAAAACCGGGATAAAAACTATCCTATGTTCTTTCCCGGGACTCAAACTATCTCTATGCTAAATTTCATCAAAATCGGTTGCGAGGTTTAAGCGGGAAAGCGTAACAGACAGACAGACAGACAGACAGACAGACAGACAGACAGACAGACAGACAGAGTTACTTTCGCATTTATAATATTAGTTGGGATTATAAAGCTGAAGAGTTTGTTTGTTTGTTTGTTTACTTGAACACGCTAATCTCCGGACTACTGGTCCGATTTGAAAAATTCTTTCAGTGTTAGATACCCCTTTTATCAAGGAAGGCTATACAACACGCTACGATCAATAGAAGCAGAGCAATAATGAAATATGTTGCGAAAACGGGTTTTAACGCGTACGAAGTTGCGGGCACAGCTAGTCACTTATACATGTCCTAATATAGCTAGCACCTGGTAGTACTTAGTGGTTCGGGAGAACATTTATTATAGCACGAAAATGTGACGCGTTTTAACACAGCAAAATGTATAGATAGTTCCATCCACGAAGACGCGCCCCACCATTCTTCCGCTAATGTTTGAGTGTTATCGGTACACACTAAATTATCCACGAGTGCACACGCACACTACAATAATGCCGCTCGGATTGCTCGGATCAAACTCCCCACACCCCGCGCTTCCTTCGACAAAAATTGGTGGGGCGCGTCTTCGTGGATGGCTCGATCTATAACATAATTTATGAATGAGCTAAACGATTTTCTCCAGTTTGTGTGAATATTATGTAATTACAGTTATTTATTAAAGAATCTAAAATATATTAGAGAAACATAAGAAATTCTTGTCGTGAATTCTCAAAAATGAAAAAGGTCAAGAAACCAGAAAGCGATGCTACCTAGTCGCGATGCTGTGGAAATATATTTTCCTGGTCCTTTTACGTGCTGAAATTGGCTCATGAGCACCGTCCACCAGACATTCATCGACAATGATACGGCAGTAGGGCGTCACGTATACCTACCATTTATGAAGACTGTTATAGTCTGGTCCGTGAGCACGTAGAATTTTGTCCAATGACCCCTAGCTACCCATCCTTATCGCTCGCGCGTAATTATGTTGCTATCGCGCTCGCACACTCACTGCGGGTGCCAGTCGCACAGTCGCAACAGCAATATAATTACGCGCGAGCGATAAGGATAGGTAGCTAGGGGTCATTGGACAAAATTCTACGTGCTCACGGACCGGGCTTTAGTAACAAATAGATCCGATAACTTTTCACTTACTAGGCAGTGCTTGTAGTTGTCGCTCATCAGGCTTGTCAGCCTTGTCGGGGCTGGCGATGACGCTTCGGTAGAGGCGCGGTACAGCGGCCGAGAATGGCGTCCCGCACAGCATGTTGCCCGCGCTAGCCAGGAACTCGGACGCTGGAAATGAAGAAGTTTCGAATTGTAATTTTATTTGAATCATCTGCTAGAAATAATAAAGCACAATGTATTAAAAAAATAACATTATTTGATAGATATTTTTTAAGGTTTTCGGTCCACCGATCAGTGGGCTGAGCGTGAGTTTACATCAAACGTCCTCACTAGTGAGCGCGTTAAAAAAATGTATAAAAATATTAGTTCTTGAACGTTTCCGCTAGGGGCGCTGTACAATCAGTCATACATTTAATGTCATTTTTTTACGACATTATGAGATTCCACTTCCACACATTTTGAGGAGAGCGTAGTACAGCCAAATAGACCAGCTTTGCTGAAATATTCCACACTTTGGCTACTTAGGTCACTAGAACGGATTGGTCGCATATCGTTATCTTTCTGAAGCTCTACAGTGCCTACACCTGCAAGTCTATCTCTTACATCCCAGCAGGCCCCCGACGGAGCTGAAGTTGGCTAGGCTCTTGAACAACGGCTCCCCGGCTAAGGAGTCCGCCACGTCTGATCTGAGCTGATCTGAGCCTGTACTGAAGGCAGCACGGCGGCCATGCGAGGCAGACTCTACAGTATTTATGTATCAGCCAACAGCTCTTCTTACATCCTAACATCTATGCAAGGCAGGCTCTATAGTGCTTACAACCCGATCAAGCTAGCTGCGTATCTCACTGGAATGCGACTCTCCCTCCCACCGTAAGTACCAGAGCAAAGATGTGACGTCACGGCCGCCTGATAATAACTGGTCTCGTTCCCACCACTGCAACTCCTGTATAGTCAAGTTTGTCCCGGGGAAAGTTAAACTGACATTTTATCCGCAATGAAATTAATCAGAAGAAAATAGGATGAGTTCGAAATTAAGGTTCGACTAATACATAACCGGGTTGTAATATCAAGCCAACAGCTCTACTTACAGCCCAGTAATCCCCCGACGGAGCTGAAGTTGACCAGGCTCTTGAACAATGGCTCTTCAGCGAAAGTGTCCGCCACCTCGCTGATCTGAACTTGCACAGAGGGCAGCACAGCAGCCATGCGAGGCAGGCGCTATAGTACTTACAGCCCGATTGAGCGAGCTGCGCATCTCACTGGAATACGATTCTCCCTCCCGCTTACCCACAAACTTCCCCGCGTTCGCCTGTCCGTACCAGAGCTACAATGTGACGTCACGGCCGCCAGATAATAAAATAACCAGGGTTTTTTATTCCCCTCTCGTTCCCACCACTGCAACTCCTGTGTAGCCAGGATCTTCAGCTTGACCGCCACAAAAACCCAACCAATGAAGGTCAAGTTTGTCCCGGGGGAAAGTTAAACTGTCATTGGACCCGCAACGAAAGTTTTTTATTCAAGCCCACAACTCTACTCACATCCCAGCAGTCCTCCGACGGAGCTGAAGTTGGCCAGGCTCTTGAATAATGGCTCTTCAGCGAAAGAGTCCGCCACCTCGCTGATCTGAGCCTGTACTGAAGGCAGCACGGCGGCCATACGCGGTAGACCTTGCGTTACTGCTGTGCCCTCTGCTTCTGTGAGGTTGGAGGCTGTGTACAGTTGCACGAGGAGGGCTGCGGTCACCTGGGGGTAAATACAAAGAATTATTGTGACGTTAGTGTTTCGATTGTCGTCAAGATAAAAATTGCTACGGTTCCCAGCTTATAAACAAAAAAACAACAAATTTTGAAACCTTACCACTTTTGCAGAAACATAGCTTCTTGCGGTTTAATGTACTCAAAATTAATTAGCAACTTACAATTGAAAGAACATTCTGCATCCGGATCTAAGTAGTGAAGTTAATTCTTATTTTGCAGTAGAGCAGACCGACACTGACCCTGTTTTGCATGGATATATTAGCGACATGTCCTTTAGCTAACACACATAATTAGCAACGTATTCTTCTGGCATCACCGAAGTGATGAGGACACTATTCAGAAGCTATTAAGCTGTTAAATACGCACCTTGTCCATAATGTACGTGAAGATCAATTCTGAGCAGAGCTGTAATCTGTCCATAGCTGCCATACATTTCGTGTGGGAGACATAATTCAGAAGCCATTAAGCAGTAAAAAATACGCACCTTGTCCACAATATAGCTGAAGTTCAAGTTCTGCATCAAAGCCACGACCAATTGCTTTGCACGTAGTTAGCTGCGTAGTCGCCTGGCTACGCCGAAGTGATGAGGACACTATTCAGAAGCGTACCTTGTCCATAATGTACGTGAAGATCAATTTCTAACGCAGAGCTGCTATCAGCTGTCCACAGCTGCCAAATATGTCATGTTGGAGACACCATTCAGAAGCTATCGAGCTGTAATGAGGGCTATCGTTTTTAAACTTAACAGTTGGCACACCTGGCGATTGACAGGACCTTACTCTACAGTGGCGCCATCTTGATGAGTGCAAATGCGATAGTCCTCCTACCACTTTAGCGCTCACCAGTTGGTGCCACTGTCTTCGCTACTAGCAAGTGACAGGACCTTACTCTCCACTCTCATAAAATACGCACCTTGTCCACAATATAGCTGAAGTTCAAGTTGTGCATCAGAGCCGCGAGCAGCTGCTTGGCGCGCTCGTCGGGCAGGCCGCACAGCTGCTCGGCCACGGCGCCGCTGACGTCATCGCGCGACACCACGCCCAGGTCGGCCGGCTGCAGCGCGCGCGACATGGCTTCTAAAGCCTGGTCCGTGAGCACGTAGAATCCCGTCCAATGACCCCAAGCTACCCATCCCTATCGCTCGCGCGTAATTATGTTGCTGTCGCGCTCGCACACTCACTGCGGGCGCCCGTCGCACAGTCGCGACAGTAACGCGCGAGCGATAAGGATGGGTAGCTTGGGGTCATTGGACGGGATTCTACGTGCTCACGGACCAGGCTTTAGCTGGCACACGTAGTATTCTAGCTTGCGTGGGCGGGGCACATAGCTCGTAGAGACGATGGCAGTTGGGGCAGAAAAGTTCTCGAGTGGCGACTACGAGCCGGAAGACGTAGCGTGGGCCGGCATTCCACTAGGTGGACCGACGATCTGGTGAAGGTCGCGGGAGGTGCCTGGATACGAGCGGCGCAGGACCGGTCTTTGTGGAAATCCTTGGGGGAGGCCTTTGTGGACGTCTTTCGGCTGAAACGAACGAACGAACGATTCTAGCTTTGCCGAATGTTGGGGACACAATTATGAAGTAGTGAGCTGTAATTAAATACGCACCTTATCCATAATGTACGTGAAGATCAATTTCTGGAGTAGAGCTGCTATCTGCTATACATGTCAAGTTGGAGACACCATTCAGAAGTCATTGAGTTGTATAGTCTGGACTGTGCGACGGGCGCCAGCAGTGAGTGTGCGAGCGCAACCGCAACATAATTACGCGCGAGCGATAAGGATGGGTAGCTTGGGGTCATTGGACAAAATTCTACGTGCACACAGACCGGGCTTTAGTAAAGCACGCACCTTGTCCACAATATAGCTGAAGTTCAAGTTGTGCATCAGAGCCGCGAGCAGCTGCTTGGCGCGCTCGTCGGGCAGGCCGCACAGCTGCTCGGCCACGGCGCCGCTGACGTCATCGCGCGACACCACGCCCAGGTCGGCCGGCTGCAGCGCGCGCGACATGGCTTCCAGCTGGCACACGTAGTTGGCTATGTGGTCGCCTGGCTTCCAGGAGAGGATCTGGAAAACAATAGTTTGATAAGTGTTTGCTAAATAATGTATTAGGCTGTAATAGTTCTAGATGATTGATACCTATTGATTGGGAGAGGCCTATGGCTGAAATAATGATGATGATTGATACCACCAGCAGAGTAAATACAAATGAGTAGGTCATCTTCATAGAAACGCAACGAGCGCGGTTTGTATGTGAGCGCGCCAATACGTATGCAGCGCGCACGCACACACTGATAAAATTCGACGCAACTCCCCGCTTAATTTTCTCAGTGTGTGCGTGCGCGCACCATACGTATTGGCGCGTCAGTCAACTCCTGACAGAAAAGTGTGACTATGACAAGGATCTTTTAGACCGTGATTTGCCTAATTTTATGCCCCATGTAGATTAACGCCTGTACAAAGGATCCGATCTGGCTAAGGTCATGAAGATTTATTTCGCGGTCCATTTACCGTTACTTGACATAAATGAAAATGATGAAGTAGCCTAATCTAGTCATCTAGTGAGCGAAAGGGGACGGGTTCAAATTCCACCTCAGGTAGTAGATATTTCAAGCTATTTCTAGAATTAGTAGTAGTAGGGCCCAAAAGATAAGGAGACATGTAAAGTGCCCCATAAGGGCTGCCTTTTCTTTTTTTATTATTTTCTATAATAATATTTTGACGTTCATAAGTGCCACTTGTGGTCTAAACTGAATAAATATTTTTTGATTTTGAAATATTTTTGATTTTGATTTTTTGATTTTGAAATTCCAAAGTGAGTAGACACCTACCGGCTTGAGCAGTATGTACCCGGCGTGTATGCGCGGCGCAGCAATAGACCAGAAGTTGGTGTTGTTGATGCCCAGCGCCGCAAGCGCCGACTCCACGCGGTCCAGGCTCAAGAACACCTCCCACACCGGGACTGGAATATAATAACTAAGTTAGGACTGGACGCTATATGACTACCGGTATGTGACCACCTACTATAGTTCGTTTCATCCACGAAGACGCGCGGGGTCGAAGGAAGCGCGGGGTGCGGGGAGCCTGATCCGACCAACCCGAGCGTCATCCTTGTAGTGTGCGCCCGCACTACGGACAACTATCCAATGAGGGCTATCGTTTTTATACTTAACAGTTGGCACCCCTNCAATGAGGGCTATCGTTTTAGCGCTCACCAGTTAGCGCCATTGTAGATTAAGGTCCTGTCACTTGCTAGTAGCGAAGACAGTGGCGCCGACTGGTGAGCGCTAAAGTGGTAGGAGGACTATCGCATTTGCACTCATCAAGATGGCGCCACTGTAAAGTAATGTCCCGTCAATCGCCAGGGGTGCCAACTGATAAGTATAAAAACGATAACCCTCATTGCAACGCTGCCAATGCCAACTATGAAGCTCGGATTGGTCGGATCAAACACACCTCGCACCCCCCGCTTTCTTCGACTCGGTGCGTCTTCGTGGATGAAACGAACTATACCAATATGAAGAAAAACCCACTGCAACTGGTTTGATTTTTATTGGCGGTCAGGCTGTAGATCATGGCTACACAGGAGTTGCAGCGGCGAGCGAGAGGTGGGAATGGTCCCGATACCGATATGTAGTCAACAGAGAATGGCGAGAAGGGACAGTGAAAGTGAGAAAAGAGCAACGATAAATAAAAGCTTGTAAAAATAGCTGACAGTAGCGCAACGGTTTAAAACGGTCGAGCGTTAAGCCATTGTGGTGATCTTATTTCTAACACAAGCATAATGTTTCGCGTACTTGAAGGGGTTAAAGTATAATATTATCCCAACTAATATTATAAATGCGAAAGTAACTCTGTCTGTCTGTCTGTCTGTCTGTCTGTCTGTCTGTCTGTCTGTCTGTTACGCTTTCCCGCTTAAACCTCGCAACCGATTTTGATGAAATTTGGCATAGAGATAGTTTGAGTCCCGGGAAAGAACATAGGATAGTTTTTATCCCGGTTTTTGAAACAGGGACGCGCGCGATAAAGTTTTTCTGTGACAGACAAAATTCCACGCGGGCGAAGCCGCGGGCGGAAAGCTAGTAAGAGATAATTTCATAACATAAGACATCATTTCCTAACAGTTTAGGGTATGAAAATTGTAGTGTCTTCGATCATGTTCATCAGTGACTGATCGAAATCTCCACGGGCGGAAGTCATTGTCAAAACATGAGTAACGATAAAAATAAAGAATAACTGAATGAATCATACTTTTGAAGTCCTGTTTCTCCAGATAGGTTTTGTACTGATGCAGCACTTGAAGTCCGCTTGTCAGGGCCTGCAGATCGTGCTCCAGGGTGGAGTTGCCTAGCAGCGGCCGCAGCTGTTCAAGGATGCCGTGGATACTGTAATAACGGAATAAATAAATTAATCACTACATAATTATTATAAAAACAAAGACCTCCACGCCACCGCATTAGTTTCGTCTGTTCGCAATAAACTAAATAACTATTGATCGGATTTTCATGCGGTTTTCAGCAACAGATAAGATTGATTGGAAGGTTTTTAGGTACACAATTTCTCAAGTCTTTGTTTTTCATTGCACGGGCGCAATCTGCACACAAAAATTAGTCTTTAAAGTAGGCCCCAAGCGTCTTAAATATTATTGAGACATAAACAACTATAGTCTGGTCTCTGAGCACGTAGAATTTTGTCCATTGATCCCAAGCTAGGTACCCATCCTTATCGCTCGTACGTAATTATTTTATATTGCCGTCGCGACTGTGCGACGGGGGCCCGCAGTGAGTGTGCGAGCGCGACAGCAACATAATTACGCGCGAGCGATAAGAATGGGTAGCTTGGGGTCATTGGACAAAATTCTACGTGCTCAGAGACCGGGCTTTACCTGTAGATGACGCTATTGAGGGGATCCTCAGCCAGTATCTCCAATACCAAGTCGAGGGTAGGCGCGAGTCTTCCTTTCAACACTCCAGCTACGTCCATGGTGCTGGCCAGCCCCACCAGCCTGCCCAGGTGTTTGAGCAGCTGTTCTACGTGGAACAAGAAGTTCGACACGTGCTGGAACTTCCAGAACTCCGTTTCTTGGAGTTTTGGTAACTGGGGGTTACGAAAAAAGGTTTTATTCACATACTGACGAACGTTATTTAATTTTCATATATCTCGGAAAGGACTTGGTAATGAGGGTTTTCGCGTATGAAAAATCCGCCAGATGGCAATACGTAGACGCGAGGTCCATATGCTGCATGATTGGTTATTTTTGACTAGACATTGACAGATATGTCAAAATCCACCAATCACGCAGCAGTCTGACCCCACATCATCCACGTCCCGCCATCTAGCGGATCTTTCATTCGCGAAAACCCTCATTGTGATTTACTCTTTATGTATAGTTTGTTATAATTATGTAAACCCTGGTCTTCCTAATATGAATCAATAAATAAATAACTACAGTGCGAAAAAATATCTTAATATTACTTACATCTTTAGCAATTAGCGTAGAGTTCACGTTATTCTTGATAATATTTATAAGAACCGCACAATCCGAGTGAGGGCACAACTCACCAAGACTACGGTTTTGTAGCACCACAAAGTTTTCCATAGAGTTTTGGTCCAGAGATTTTTTAAGCTGAAACAAAAGTAGTTTTGAAATAAACTAATATCTATAAAAATGGTAAAATGTAAAAATAACGAAACTAGGACTTATGGAACCTGCAATATTTCGAAAAAACAAAATATTGTTTGTTCCAAACCTTCCATCCAGGCTATCTTATCTTATATCTTATCGACGATTTAAGGCGACAAATGTATGGGTTTATCGTTCAAAATCCTATCCTAGGCCTACAGGCTCCAAAATGTCGAGTTTGAAGCTAATTTCATCTTATATATTTTCAGCACAATGAATTCAGGCCTTACTTTAATTAAAAAAGCTTTCCTAATCTATGAAACTTACCAGTCTCAAATTCACGTCACCCTCCCGCACTTTCATCGCCAGCTCGTCTCCTAACTTCCTCAAGTCTTGTTCCAAGCTGTTCCCATCTTTCAAGTACTGCTTCAGCGGCACGTAGACATCCAAGTTGGGAGCTATCTGTGAAGCCAGCTCCTTGAGGAAAGCTACTTCTTTCACGCCGTCTATCTCGTGTAAGTGGGGCAGTTCTGCTCGGATGAGGGTATTCGTCTGAGCGAGGACTGTGAGGAAACTGGGAAGGAAAGTGGGTGGTTTACTTATTTTTTCATTTAAGTTGTGAAATAAGCAATTTTGTACCCATAGTACCAAGATATTGGTGCGACAACACGATTTCATTTATACAATGAAGGCTATCGTTTTAGCGCTCACCAGTTGGCGCCACTGTAGAGTAAGGTCCTGTCACTTGCTAGTAGCGAAGACAGTGGCACCAACTGGTGAGCGCGAAAGTGGTAGGAGGACCATCGTATTTGCACTCATCAAGATGGCCCCACTGTAGAGTAAGGTCCTGTCAATCGCCAGGGGTGCCAACTGTTAAGTATAAAAACGATAGCCCTCATTAGATATGCATTTATAAAATTTGGTTTTTCCTTTCGAGTAAAAAAAAAATAGTTGTATGTTGTATAGTGTGTCAGTTCTTATCAGGGCATTTGCTATAAAATAAAGATAATAGGCTGTCTTTTAATCACTTTGGGACCACATTAATCGCTAGCGTTTACAATATACCTATGTATTAAGATTGTGGTTTGTGTAAATTGTTTCAATTGGTGCTTCCTTGTGTTTACATCGTCGGGCTTTGAAACTCAATGAAACATATTCAACTATCATGCAAATTAATATTACATTACACGTAACATTCAGTTACAACAATTTCACGCTTGTACGCCAACCAATTCATAGTGAACCGTATACTCACAGCGCAGCGTGTCCGAACTCGTTCCTCGTGACGTTGCCCGCCAGGCAGGCGGCCAGGCGGCTGGTGTCGGCGGCCATGTCTTCCAGCAGGTGCAGCTTGATTTGTCCCAGCAGCTCGTTTAATGACTTGTTCAGCTCGTACTTGGTGTAGTTGCGGAACGAGATCAGCTGAAATTAAATGACATTTTAAATAAAACAATGTGGCAACATAAAATGACCTAGGAGTATGAAATGAATGCGCTGAACCTTTTATTAACCGCCAATAAAAGGTTCGATCAATATTGGGGAAAAATAATATATGTTGGACTTGCAAAGATGTTTCATTATTTCAGCCATAGGATGTCCACTGCTGACCATAGGCTTCCCCCAATGCTTTCCATGTTAATCGATTGGTAGCGGCCTGCGTCCAGCGCTTCCCTGCTACCTTTATGATGTCATCGGTCGGTGGACGTTCCACGCTGCGTTTCAACTATGTTTAACAGTAGAATAAGGAGCATTTTCAAGCCAAAGATTACCTTCCATCACATTTTTACTGGAAAGAACGCCATCTTAGGGGTTACAAATGCGATAGTTCAGCTCTCACCAGTTGTCTCAACGGTCTAGCGAGTGGCAGAACCTTATCTATAGCGGCACTAACTGATGAGCTATTAAGATACTCTTCATCGAATCTTAAATCTGCACAAAGGGAGACTGAGCTAGTGCCAACAGTGCCAAACAATAGACAATTTGACAATGCGAAAAATAAAGTCAATAGACGTGTTGACACCACCAATCAATTGATGTACTTTTTTAAACTGTCAAAACGAAACTCTCTCATAGATTTTGTATGGCACTACAAGCAAGTGACGTCACTATCTTGTCAACTCAAATTAACTACTTTTATCAATTACAATGCGACTAAAAATCGTAATTTACAGGTAATTCAAAATTAATTAAGTTTTTAAGACCAGAATGAAGTGTCTTTTAAGAAAAGTTGTGATTTCGAATTATTGGGGAATGGTGTCAAATTGTCTATTACTGGTAACAGTTTAAATTACGAATTTAAAAATGATATTTTATTAACGTAAGTTGAAAATAATAACTAATTCATTTAAAAATCCCCAAATAAAAATGCATTTTTTAAACGTTTGTCACGTGACGCAGTTTGGTCGCGGTCAAACAAAGGAGGATTGTTACGTAAACCATGGTTTATTATTCCTCAAAGATTCCTTACCTCCCTAATTGCCATGTCCCAGTGGAACTCATTGTTCAAGACATGGTGTACTTCCTCCAGTGAAACAGTATGCAGGCGGCACAGCAGCGCGTCATATTCTTGCTTCTTGTACAGCTGAAGGCTCAGCTGCTTCAGCCATGTTGTCAGCGGCGAGCACAGCGTGCACTGACTGTAAGTTATGAGGATTTAAGAACTGTTGAAGATTGGCTGACAAAGTAACGAAGACTTACACTCTTAAGAGTCAACGATTTCAGCAATATTTTTTATTGAGTTAGTAAACACTTAATATGCAATAAAAAATTTGAATTTGAATCTTTGCACAAATCCACCCATAAGAACAGTGTAGATATATTTTTAATGTGTCTAACGGCCGGTTCACACATGTCTCCGTTTTACTGTTCCGTTTTATCGTGTACGGTTTTTTTTTCGTCGATGTATGTATTAATGTATACGGAATACTGTGTTATGTGTGAAGTCGATCATACAACTACATACGCCATCGACGAAAAAAACGTACACGATAAAACGGAACAGTAAAACGGAGACATGTGTGAACCGGGCGTTACTCTAATTATCTCCAAGCTGACGACTCGTTAGATATAACTATCATAGCTTCCAAAAAAAATTTATTCCACATAAAATACGTAACCGACTACAACACGATTTGAAAAATATCACAGACTTCTGTGGAAGCAGAAGTAGATCTTGCCACAATCTCTGACGTTTTTCAGTTGCCACACGTTTTCTATTTGCATAAAGCGATATAAACTTACCTGGTATTCAAGAATAACGTCCCAGCATCAACCACATTCCCCAGCACGCCAAAAGATATCCTCGTTAAGGTTTCCTTGGACAGCAGCTTCAGGGCGGTTCCTCGCAATCCTTTGATCTTCTCATCGGTGATCCACTTGGGTCGTAGCGGCGCCTTGGGTCCATTGCGAATAGATTCTAAGAGGGACTCAGTGGAGGAGATGTCTGAGTACAAGGCCGTGTAGTTGATCTCTCTCGGCAGTTGGAGATCGTCTTCGAAGCCCTGTGAAATATGAGAACAAATTAGAATTTATTGTAAAGCGAACAAATCACGTGCTAAAAAGTGTAAAGGTGTAATGTAAGTATGAAGACATAAGCAAGAGACGCAAGGCAAAATAGAAATCGGTATTAATCAAATAAAGTTCTTATGACGTTGCATTCAAAGAGTGTGCAGTAGATAGACACAAATCAAAAGAAATTATTTAATTGTAAATAGTTGTTCATATGCAATTATTTATGAATACAAAATGGTGTGGAAACTGATCAACTTTTTCGGCTATTGTTGGACTATTTTCGATGAATTACAATTACATTTTGATATGCACTGTCTGTATTTGCTTTTGTATGCTTATTTCTAGCTATGTTTAATTTTTTTTGCCGTTTCGACGTCGATCCTGTGATAGGGTAAGGGTAAGCTTATATTGGGAGTATTGGGACGTGTATAAGTGTCCTGAACATAAATAATAAAGAAATTGAATTTAATCTCTATCTTCTTACCTGCGAAGCGAACACCAGCGGCGGTATTTCCCTAAACAATTCAGTCTTGTCTGCGCTGCATATCTGTTTCTTCAACCGGGACAATGTCCCGGTGGAGTCTGGCATATAGTCGGCGAGGGACACGTTGTCCCGGCAGAAGGAAGCCGTGTCGTTCACGTTCACGTCGTGTAGGAGGCGGACTAACTGCGAATTCGTTTTATATTATGTAAGAATAAACATTTTTTTTATGCTAGACAAGCACCTGCCTTGTCTAGCATAAAAAAAATGTTTATTTGACCGCAATCGCACCTGGACATTACATAAGAATAAAGATTACATTAGGTAATAATTAGTAGACTATATAAGATATACTTGGAACTTGAAAAATCCATCATCCACGAATGCCTGTAATACGCGGCCTTTTGTTCAGACAGCGTCAAATAGTTCGTAACACCCAAAGTAGCCAAAAGTTCCAACACGTCTTGTTAAAATTAGAATAAGGTTGTGTTTACAACTTCTTGGCCAGTTTGGGTGCCACGAAGTATTTGATACTAACTGTACTGCACGCGAAGCTCCGCCCACAAGTCGGTGCAAGCAAGGAGTGTTAGCACGACACCATACTACTGTAGGCTACTCTATAAATACTGAGGTAGGTGGCCATTGTAACTTACTCGTATCTCATCCAGCTTGGTCAATACGTCCCCTGCAACCTCAAAGCTGGTCTCTACGGCATCTAGGAAGCCTGCAACCCGTAGACCTTTGTACTGCGCTCTTAGCCCCGCCCACCAGTGGGCACCAGCAAAGAACGTCAGCACGACACCATACTGCTTTAGGCTACTCTATAAGTACTGGAGGTAGGTGGCTACAGTAACTTACTCGTGTCTCATCCAGCTTGGTCAGCACATCTTCAGCCACCTCAAAGCTGGTCTCCACGGCATCCAGGAAGCCTGCAACCCGTAGTCCTTTGTACTGCGCTCTAAGCCCCGCCCACCAGGTGGCACCAGCAAAGAATGCTAGCACGACACCATACTACTGTAGGCTACTCTATAAGTACTGGAGGTAGGTGGCCATTGTAACTTACTCGTATCTCATCCAGCTTAGTCAACACGTCCCCTGCTACTTCAAAGCTGGTCTCCACGGCATCCAGGAAGCCTGCAACCCGTAGTCCTTTGTACTGCGCTCTAAGCCCCGCCCACCAGTCGGCGCCGGCGAGGAAAGACAGTACGATGCCGTATTGCTGTAAGCTGCTTTGTAGATATTGCAGGTAGATAGCAAGGCCCAGGTCGTAAGAGTACTTGACGGACGATCTTAGGGACGATATTAGTTTCTTTCTGAAAATAAAAAGGGTTTTTAGGAATTGTTCGATTTTTTTTGTTAGAAGAAACCATCAATATCATAAATAAATACTGTTCTAAATTGTTATTTCCTTTATTATTTGAGTATGGCTTGTAACAGAAATCAGAAAAAAATATTTGCTTTTACATGGTTTTACAAGATGTTATTGTTACAATGAGATTGTCATATCTGTCAATGTCATGTCAAAAATAACCAATCATGCAGCATTTGGACCTCGCGTCTACGTATTGCCATCTGGCGGATTTTTCAAACGCGAAAACCCACATTGGCATGTCCACACGTTGACTCAATTAGTCATGCAACAAATAACTGCTCAAAAAAGTGTCAATTGTTTGGATCATAAGAAAAAAACCCATTTAATCTATACTAATATTATAAATGCGAAAGTAACTCTGTCTGTCTGTCTGTCTCTCTTTCACGCCTAAACCACTGAACCGATTTTGATAAAATTTGTCAGGGAGATAGTTTAAGTCCCGGGAAAGGACATGAGATAGTTTTTATCCTGGTTTTTGAAACAGGGACGCGCGCGATATAGTTTTTCTGTGACAGACAAAATTCCACGCGGGCGAAGCCGCGGGCTAAAAGATAGTTTGGAAATATGTTTTAAAAAGTAGTATCAAGACCATACCTGTCTCTAAAGAATCTCGCGACATCCACGGCTTCTTCACTGTCGTCCTGCAGAGCCTTTAGCAAATTATCCAAACTGTCCTTTGCTCCCTTCAAATCATCGGCGATAACGTTTTGTACTGCCCCATATATCACTTTATATTGCTTACTGCACACTTTACTTTTACTTCTATGATCTTCGATAAGTATATCTATGTTAGTATTGTTGAAGTCTTCGCAAATAGTGTCAAAGGTTTTGACTAAGTCAAAATCGTTGTTAGTTGATAACATGTAGGTTATAACATCAAAATGTATAGCTATAGCCTCGTACGGTCTTCTTTTGAATATCCTGCTGATATAATTTATGTCGGAATCAAGTTTTTTTGCCTCTTCTTCAGTGTAACCGTTGTTTATATCGTTTGCTTTTAAATTTTCTATGGCTACCGCCAGTTTGTTGGTCATAGCCGTTATTCTAGTCAGGTAGGTCATTGAAATGAATTGTTTTTTGTTTATTTCATTGAACAATCTGTACGAAGGGTCGGTTTCGTCAATTTTGTAGTTGAGGACGCTATCGACAGTCTTTTGCAGTTTTGCCTCTAAAGAATCAGGTGTAGTGTCTTCTTNCTATGTTTGATTTTTTTTGCCGTTTCGACGTCGATCTAGTGATAGGGTAAGGGTAAGCTATGTATATTGGGAGTATTAGGACGTGTATGTCCTGAACAAATTAAAAAAGAATTTGAATTGAACCTCTATGTTCTCACCTGCGAAGCGAAAACCAGCGGCGGTATCTCCCTGAACAACTCGGTCTTGTCTGCGCTGCATATCTGTTTCTTCAACCGGGACAATGTCCCGGTGGAGTCTGGCATATAGTCGGCGAGGGACACGTTGTCCCGGCAGAAGGAAGCCGTGTCGTTCACGTTCACGTCGTGTAATAGGCGGATTAACTGTAATTGAAAGTTTTATATGTAAGAATTTTTTTTTTTTGCTAGACAAGGCAGGTGTTTGACCGCGATCGCACCTGGACAACTGGACATTACATAAGAATAAAGATTACATTAGGTAATAATTAGTAGACTATATAAGATATACTTGGAACTTGAAAAATCCATCATCCACGAAAGCCACGGCACACACGGCCCTTTATACAGTCAGCCTCAAATAATTCGTGACACCTTAAGTAGTGAAAAAATTCCCAACGTCTTTGTTAAAATTGGAATAAGGTTGAGTTATCAACTTTTTTGCAACTTTGTGTGTCACAAACTATTGATACTGACTGCCACAAAGCACTGCCCATTAGTCAGCGCCGGTAACTTTATTAAAAAAGATAAAAAGATAAAAGATCATTTATTCACCGAGACAAGGTAATACAACAAGGTAGATGTTACAATAGTTATACAGTGCAGCTTATCTCACCAGCAAGCTAGCACAAAATATAACAGAAGGTAAACTCATGTATGTACCTCGCTTTGCATAACTCTCTCGCTCGCACGCTCGGCCGTCGCGCTAGGGTTGTCTTGTCATGTGTTGCGTTTATTTCGTTATGATAGAAAAATGTTACTCTTAATACTATGCAAGAAAGTATCACAGGCGGTTGACCGGCGCGTGACTCAAGCGAACCACAGCGAACGTGTGGCGAACGTCTGTCGCGCTCGCGCCACGTCGCGCTCGCGCCACGTCGCGCTCGCATTCGTCCAAGACAGTCTTGCTAGAGCGGTGTCTATGTGTGCGTGACTCGAGCGCGTTTAGTATGGAGTTTGTCTTCTGTTATATTTTGTGAAGCTAGTGTGTGATTATTACATTTTTTTTTATTGACCCATGCATAGTTAAAAAAAAATGAGAACTTTCCAACTACAAACAAAGAACAGATAAATTATTTGAATTACAATTATCAATAAAGATAATGTCAGTAAATATTTATGTCAGTTATTCGAATACAGTCAAGATTAATTTTAATTAATGTCAGATTCATATTAGTACCACAGAATTATTAACACAATGCTGTATTGTTGTTAGCTGCTCTGTAGGAACTGCGGGTAGGTGGCCACACTGTAACTTACTCGTATCTCATCCAGCTTCGTCAACACGTCCCCTGCTACCTCAAAGCTGGTTTCCACGGCATCCAGGAAGCCTGCGACCCGTAGTCCTTTGTACTGCGCTCTAAGCCCTGCCCACCAGTCGGCACCAGCAAAGAATGCTAGCACGACACCATACTACTGTAGGCTACTCTATAAAACTGGAGGTAGGTAGTCACTGTAACTTACTCGTATCTCATCCAGCTTGGTCAACACATCTTCAGCCACCTCAAAGCTGGTCTCCACGGCATCCAGGAAGCCTGCAACCCGTGGTCCTTTGTACTGCGCTCTAAGCCCCGCCCACCAGTCGGCGCCGGCGAGGAATGTCAGCACGATGCCGTATTGCTGTAAGCTGCTTTGTAGGTACTGCAGGTAGATGGCAAGGCCCAGGTCGTAAGAGTACTTGACGGATGATCTTAGGGACGAAATTAGTTTCTTTCTGAAAATAAATCAATTTTTAAATCATTTGTTATAGCCTGACCAGGAACATAAAAACCCTCGCCATGTTGCGGAAAACTAATGGTACTAATTTCTTTTAATGGCAACAGTAACTGAAAACTTCATTGACATGTCACCTTGCATGTCAGTCTATTGCTGTCAAAGTGTAAACAAACTTTATTTTAAATGTGCGCAGTTGGTTTTATGAATTAAATTGCTAAAATATTTTTATAGTCGTGAAAGAAAAGTGGTTCACAATGNGTCTTCGTCCGGTAAAACTGTTTGGTTCTTGATGGATATGTTTGAGAGAAAGCTGCTGAGTTCTGAAGCTTTATTGAATGCAGCTTCGAAGCTGCTCGTCAAGTTTTGTGCTGGGAGCGTGTAGAATATGTATTGCTGTAATGAAATTAAATACAATGACTTAATATTTTGATTTTTACTTTTGGGCTATTTTGCAAAAACGTTATGTAGAAATACATTTTCAGAACGTATACAGTTGGTAAGATTTTTTCCTACCAGCTGTGCTACCAGCAACAGATTCATTGAGATACTTATATTAAGGTTCAGAACTTTCTAAAATACCTAGATAGACAGTTAACAGTTTTCTAAGGGTATAAAGGTCCACACTCATTGGTGTCGTGTCTTATAGTATTTTCAAGAATTTTGGGTTAAAAAGTACCACACAAGTTGCACTTATTGACAGGCACACTCAAATGTAATAATTAATTACTATTTGGTGTTTGTTTTCAAAATCAAATAAGTTTAATTAAACACATTCGACAATCCCGTCAACTCACCGGTTTGGCCACGACGTCCAAGAACGTATTGTCCCCGCGTGGAAGTGAGATCCAGTACAACAGCGAAGGACACACGAAGGGCTGCACCTTCTTGACTGTCTCCTTGTCTATGCTGCTGCCGGCCGCTGGTGCAAGCGAGGACAGAACTTCTTGGCAGTCCCAGAAGTCGGTTAGGGAGGCACGACGGATCTAAGAAAGTGATGTAGTTATTTGTTTAATGTTACAAGTTTTTATAGGAATTTACAGTAACACTTTATGGCGGCTATTTAAATACAAAGAAATACACTAACGCCCGTATTCTCAAACAATGCTAAGTGAAGCAGCAAACTGAACGTACAGCATCGTTGAATAGGTTTGTTTTCGGTTCGGTTGGTTCGTGTGTCACCCTGTGCGTCCACGCGCACTGTGAGACCTCATAGTAATGTTTGTAAATACGGGCGTAAGCTGCTGTTGCATGAAACTTAACTGCCTCGGAGCACTAGATTTTGGTTGGTTGTCATCGCATACCCTAGATGAAAATTCATTTTTTTCTGGTCGGCGTATTGCTATTTTTTAGATCTACACAAGAAGTACCTTTCGGAAGAGACACATTTAGAGATCAGAAATTGCAATGGTTGCCCCCTACCTTGGCAGGTTTCACTCTCAATGTGAAGCAAAGACTAGACAACTTTTTTGTTATTTACCTGACTCATAAATCCGTAGTCAAAGTAGGAGTTGAGCAGAGCGGCCACGAATTCCGGGAGCTTGTCGAACAGGATGTATAAGCCGGTCGATTTGGTGAACCCAACCATTTGCAGCAGGTTTGAATCTGGCTCTGTGGAGTAACAAAATAATGATTGAGCCATACTCACTACTCACATACTCTTTATAAGCTGCACTATTGACCCACAAGTGACAGTAGGTATTAAAGGATTTCAAAAAGTAACGCACAATTTAGGCCACCTTAAAACTTGTTGCCATGTTTCAGTAGTGAAGGTTATAAATCATAATATGAAATACAAAGAGAGTCTAAAGACGAAATAAAAATATGCAAGGAAAACAGAGCTAAGAATAGGAAATTATGATATTGAATTGAAAGCTATGTACGGATTTTTAGGCGTGGCAAGTCAGCAATTTTCTGAGGACTCGCACTTGGCATAGCTTTCCCAAAGGACGTCGACAGACTGGACAGGAGGGTTTATTTAATAAATCTTACCGTTGACTTCTTTAAAGTAAATTAGGAAATCTCCAGCCACGTTATCAAGAACCACCGACACAGCTTGGAAGGAGTACTTGAGGGCTGCCCTCCGCAAGTCTCCGCAGCCTTCAGAGGGCTTACACTTGGCGTAGCCCTCCCAAAGGGCGCTGACGACCTTGGCGAGAGGAGTTGTGTCGAAACACTTGCAAATGCATCTAGTAATTCTTATCACAGTGTCATCCCAAAACTCAGCCACAAGAGTGGCGTTGTCAGCAGCATTCATTAAATCCTCCTGCGTGCAGTTGCTCGGGCACTCAGGGCACGACATCATGTGCTTCATCGACTGGGGAACAAAACCGCACCTGCACTCCATGTTTAAGCCATCCAAGAATCCCCACCTGACCAGATTGTCCTTACTACGGCCAACCTGCGTACGAAGTCTATTTTAAAGACTTCCAGATAAGCCATTCTGACAGACTGGACGGGAGGTGTCGTAGTGATGCACTCGCTAATGTTTCTAATAATCTTACCGTTGACTTCCCTGAAGTAAGTTAGTAGATCTCCAGCGACATTATCAAGAACCACCGACACAGCTTGGAAGGAGTACTTGAGCGCTGCTCTTCGCAAGTCTCCGCAGCCTTCAGAGGGCTTACACTTGGCGTAGCCCTCCCAGAGGGCACTGACGGATTGGACCGGAGGTGTTGTAGTGATGCTTTTGAGGAGGGCGTCGATGTTTGAGAACATACTCCTAGGATGCGAAGAAAGATAACATATTTTTTTAATGTCTTAAATATTTTAGTCGATCTAAGTTTTAGGCCGATGGCCTTAGTAGGCCTTAGTGCAGTGAAATTATCATAGTCTCGCGATTTTGAAACAAAAACACTTTTATAACGGTAAACAGATGATTATAATCATAATCATTTATTGCTTCATAAGTTTACATAGGTGGTTAAAACTCGAAGAAATATTCATATTTGTCAGGGGTTAAACTTCGTTTAATAGGGGCAGGTTGCTAATAAACTCAAGATTTAAAACTCAATCTAATTGATCGAAATAAATGGCGGCACATTATTGGGAATGTCAACCCTGCGTAACGGGATAAGATGAGGCAGAAGAAGACTAATTGATATAAAAATAGGCCCTGTTTCCCAGTTCCCGGTTAGAGTATAACATGTGGTATAACGTAGTACTTATTTATTAATATTCTGTGGTATAACTGTAAACTCAAACGGGCCTCATTAAAAATACTAGTTTGTATCACTTCATTAAACTTAAACGTACCTCAAAGTGTCATTCCTGTCAGTCCCTTCAAACAGCCCAGCGGCATACTTCCACGCGCCGACTATCGTCAATGGCGCATCAGTTCTGGATTCGTTGACCAGGTCAAGCACGAGCTCCTTTATCAGGGTCGTATCTTCCACCAGGGCGTCGAAGGTTGACGAGAATTGCAGGAATACGTGCGGACCGAAGGCTGTGCTGTTCCATGTACTGGCATTCTGGAAGTTAAAATTGTTTATTAGTATTGGGGCAAGTGCCATTTACACCTTGTCACGATATCATTTCAGGATATCGTAATAGACCGGTGTTGAAAAGTGGCAGTAGAAATGTTATCATCAACATTTAATGGGATGGCTTGTATGAAATATCTGACCTAAGTAATTTAACTAATGTTTTTTATTCGGCCGATTCTGAAGAAAGGAATTTAAAATCCTAGCAGGAATTCCATGATAATGTCGGTCGCGCAGATGCTACACGGCCAGGTCGACTCACCGTTCATCAGGGAGACGATTGGCTGCAGCTTTAGGAGAGTTACTAACAGTATACTCGCTCGTTTCAGCCAAATGACGTCCACAGCTGGAGAAAGGCCTCCCCCAAGGTTTTCCACAATGAACAGTCCTGCGCAGCCCGCATCCATCCTCTTCCCGCGACCTTTACCAGATCGTCGGTCCACCTAGTAGGAGGCCTGCCCACGCTACGTCCTCCAGCCCGTGGTCGCCACTCGAGAACTTTCCTGTCCCAACGGCCATCGTCTCTACGAACTAACAGTATACTCACGTATAGTGAAATGTGTCTGTTCTTCACAAACTCCGCCCACTCGTCCTGCAGTCCGTTGTCGACACACATGGCGCGCTCGCCAGCCGTGACAGCTTCCTTAGAGGCAGCCGATAGCTGTAGAACGTCGGTCACGATACTGCCACACGGCCAGGCCGGCTCAGTATTCATTACGGGACTATTCCCACCTCTCGTTCCCACCGTTGTAACTCCTGTGTAACCAGGATCTACAGCTTGACCGCCAATAAGAACCAAACCAGTAAAAGTCAAGTTCGCCTATAATAGTATACTCACGTATAAGGAAATGTGTCTGTCCTTCACAAACTCCGCCCACTCGTCCTGCAGTCCGTTGTCGACACACATGGCGCGTTCGGCAGCCGTGACAGCTTCCTTGGAGGCAGCCGATAGTTGTAAGACGTCGGTCACGCTGCTGCCGCATGGCCAGGCCGGCTCACCGTTCATTAGGGAGATGATTGGCTGTAGCTGTGGGAGGATATTATTTTAATTATTGAAAATTAAAAAATTTTTTCCACGAGTTAATTCATTTATTTCAACTAAACAACGTCCACCGCGGCTTAAATATTGCCACGAACGGTTTTGCTCTTCCTGCATATAAACGCTTCCCGCAACTTTGTCTGGATTGTCGATCAGCTAAGTGGGAGGCCTTCCTGCACTACGTCTTTTTGTCTTGAGAACTTTTCTGCCTCAAATGTCGACAAGTATGTAGTAGGTAGGTATGTTAGTAAAAATCATTACATAGTATAAAACAAAGTCCCTTTCGCTGTCTGTCCATATGTGTGACTAGTAATGTATGAACCCGAGAATTCCCAGGTTATTCAAAAGCAGGACTTAATTAATTCTTGACTCTAATACTCACGTCGACATCTCCGCTGACGATCATGTTGACGACTTCCACCACCAACTGCGGTATGTTGGGGATGATGGCCGACAGAGCCTGCGACGTCTTAGCGGGCAGGCTTGAGGAAAAGCTCTCGTTGTGGGCCAACGCTAGAAAACATTGTTTCATTAGAAATTTATTTCCTAAGCACACAGGGTGGAAACCATAGAGAGATACCAACTAATGCGCTGAGTTCGAAACTCAGTGTCGCATTAGAAATTCACACACACAAAGTAATCAAAATATGTGCTCATTATCCAATGCGGTATCAGTGTGCCTACCATGAGTTTACGTTAGGTGAGCTCGCTAGCGAATACGTCAAAAAATTCTATGAAGATTTTATTTCTTGAAAGTAGCCGCTAGGGGCGCTGCACAATATGTCATACATTTAAATGTCATTTTTTTACGCAGTCGCTAGCGAGCACACCTAACGTAAACTCATGGTAGGCACACAGTACTCAACGTTCGAATAATCTTTAGTACTACGCAAGCAAAGTCAAAGTCAAAGTCAAAATTTCTTTATTTGTTTGGACTAATAAATAGTTCTTACAAATCGTCATTTTGCTCTTAAGGAGCCTCTACATGTCTCATAATCTTTTTACCCTACCAGCGCTTCGAGACCAACATTTGGCAAGTGCTGAGAAGAAGCGCCGCAACAAACTCAGTCACCACTGTCTGCCGGTTAATATAAATAAATAGAAATAGTAGTAGTAGGTACATTCGATTCAGGAGCAGTTCACTGAATTTACCATGCATTCTTGTATGGTGTATCTTATAAGAATGGGTATACAAGATTGCGTGGTATATTAAACAAGGTAGTGACGTGCTAATATCTAGACTTACATATTAAGATACTAGTAGAAATGACTCGCATACATAAATTTGAATAACTTGGATTGACCAGTCCCCGAAAGCAGCGCCTGTTCACAGACATGACGAGTGAATATAGTTCCAAAATACTGGACTGTCCTGTCGATGACATTGACAGTGGGGCGCCACCGTCAATACCGGATCGCTGGTTCAGATTTTTGCCATGTTGGAAACCATATAGTTGAACGATGGTAGCGCCCCCCTGTCATTGAGTTTGGCGGGACAGTTCAGCGTGGGTCATCTATACATTATGACGTCGCTGCTGTCATCATTGCTGTCACGAGCAAACTGTTTACATTATGACGTCGCTGCTGTCATCATTGCTGTCACGAGCAAACTGTTTACATTATGACGTCGCTGCTGTCATCATTGCTGTCACGAGCAATGTGTTTTGTTTTTGGGCATATTGCTGCGATACCGGCCTCGCCCCCTTGTCACATTCTGTGATCTGTGGTGGAAACGATAATGATCTCACTTGATTATTTCTAAAATATACAAGATATCGAAAAACTGGTTACTGATCCTGACTGCTTCACGAGCTCTTTCAAATGGAATCAATAATAGGTTACAGAATAAATTGTATTTATCCGAAAATTCAATGTTTCCAGCTTCCCTATCCCTTAAATATGTTGTATAGTTTAGAAATAATCGCGTGAGATCAGACGTAGATCGTTTCCACCATGTATAACTTTTAATTTTTTCACTTTACTCTTTTCCCATCTATTGGTTACGCCAACTATGGTTTTCGGTAATTGATCTTATTCCTTACCAGTGAGCAGCCTAATGAAGTCGTCAACTACAGCCAGCGGCGCTTGCAAAGAGCTGAAGGCGTGCTTCATCTTCAACCAACCCTCGCTATGGAGGTCGAACGCTCCTCGGTCCACCAAGTCGAGAAGGCGGAACACCAGCTTGATACTGTTACATAAAAATAATTATATGTAGGTGTACTGGTATGTTGAATGAGCTAGCTGTTGTTCACAATCATTCCTGGGTTATCTTGCCTCGAAGATGAATGTCCACTATGTTTTTTTTTTTTTTTTTTTTTTTTTTTTGCTAGACAAGGCAGGTATTTGACCGCAATCGCACCTGGCATTTAAATACATTATACCATGAAAGTACTTTTTCTACTTCATAATTAAAATATTGAGGTGCAATAAGTATTAACGACACTGCACTTGACTTGAGAATTATCACATAATTTTGTTCAAAGTTATGGAGTGAAATAAAAATAAAATTGAACCAACTACTAAAATGTGTGTGTGCATGTATTTTGGGAGTATATTGGAGGTAAAGCGAAAACAAAGGCTATCACCATCTCGGACATAAGTAGAATGTTACATCTCCCCAGCAACAAACTGCTTCTGATATTTACCTCAAGTGCAAGCTCCTCTCCAAACTCTTGATACTGAACCAGTAGTCCCTCGCCTTATCCATCAGCTCCTTCACGCGACTTTGCTCCTTAACGTCCATGCCGTAGGACGCAAACTCGAACAAGTATGGGTAGTCTTGGTCTAGCTTTACGTAGACATTCTTAAGGCCGTCGATGAGCTTCGTCCAGTTCACTTCGTCGAGGATGTGAGATGACTTCTTTACGGCTGCTATCTGTAAAACAAAAAAGTTTTATAAGTTACAGCAAATAAATTTTTGTTAAATTACATTCGCGACCTCCTGGGGGGTCAGGAAGCCTCTATAGGGGGGTCGCGAGAGGTCGTAAAAAAATTCTTATAAAGACAGATTAATCCGAAATCTAATTATGCAAATGTTGTATGGATTGAAGTATTCGGTCCCTACAAACATCTTTGTAACATTATAAAATGCATGAAAAAAAAAGCGAACGGTCGGGGGGTCGCCAAAAAATGTTTCATACTAGGGGGGTCGTGTCATGAAAAAGGTTGAAAAACACTGCAGTAGAGTATAAAGTTCCCACTCTTCCCATGGATATCGTTAAGGGCGATTAAGGGACAAGTGATTATGGAACCAGCCTACCTCCCTTCCATTTCCTTCTAGGAAATTAAGACGAATGGGTACTCATGAAAGTTACCTCAAGATGGTGATGATGAAAACAAGAGCTTTAAGAGCTACAATGAAGTAGAGACATCATGTCGTGCCCTCAACGAGTCAGTTCACGGGATATGTACAGATGGCTTGTGAATACGAATTTCCTCAATAGTAATTCTCTGTTCTCTTGGTCGCTTGCAGTGGAGTATTGAGGTATTTATTTTGATTTGTATTACTTACAGCTTTCCCGACAGCGGAGTCATTCTTCAGGCCAGCGTCAATAGCGAGTGTGGCGTTGCACAATGCGGTGACAAGTTGCTCCCTGTTCTCTTGCGGTAGTACGAGGTATGTACCCGCTGCGTCTGCGCTCGCGCACAGCACGTACTAACAGAGTTGTTTGTACGTCTAGATGGGTTGTAGACACGTATTTATCTTAAAAATTGTATTACTTACAGCTTTTCCGACAGCGGAGTCGTTCTTCAAGCCAGCGTCAATAGCCAGCGTGGCGTTGCACAGCGCGCTGACAAGTTGCTCCCTGTTCTCTTGCGGTAGTACGAGGTAGTAAGTAGCCGCCGCGACTGCGCCCGCGCACACCACGTGCTCGCTCGCAGTGAAGTATTTACCTAAGGCCTACTGTCCACTGTCCGTCATTTGACGAATGCTTGCATACCGCATGACGAACGCAAGACTACTGATAGGACGCCACCGGCCGCTCCATGGACACATTTTTGTTTTTTTCTACGCGAGATGCAAAAAATCGTCAATTGACGATAGCATGCACATGGACGTGCGGTTTACGTGGATAGTAGCACTAAGTATCATGTTATTAATACTACTTACAGCTTTGCCAACAGCAGAGTCGTTCTTCAAGCCAGCGTCAATAGCCAGCGTGGCGTAGCACAGCGCGCTGACAAATTGTTCGCTGTTTTCCTCCGGTAGTACGAGGTATGTACCCGCTGCGTCTGCGCTCGCGCACAGCACGTACTAACAGAGTTGTTTGTACGTCTAGATGGGTTGTATACACGTACTTATCTTAAAAATTGTATTACTTACAGCTTTCCCGACAGCGGAGTCGTTCTTCAAGCCAGCGTCAATAGCCAGCGTGGCGTTGCACAGCGCGCTGACAAGTTGCTCTCTGTTTTCTTGCGGCAGTGCGAGGTATGTAGCTGCTGTGTCTGCGCCCGCGCACACCACGTCTTCACTTGCCGTGGAGAGGGATTTGTATGTCTGAAAAGGTTTGTGGAAAAGTATTAATTTAGATACCACGATTACTTGTTAGTTGTTGTATACAAGCCAGGGTGATCAGGACGTAGGATATAAAGTGATCTATGCTAAATAGAAAGTAAACAGATTATCGTCTCTCTTGAGATCTTTTCAAAATGAGTAATACGCGAGTACTTAGTTGTGTAACTTATAAACTCAGATATTTAATCAACATGACACTGAGTTACACAAAAATTGGTAAGGCCCAATTTCCACTAATGCGGAGATGAGCGGAGAAATGTTTTGAATAGCCAATCAGAAGTGGAATTGTGTAAAGCAATCGTAATCATTTGAGAGTTCATAACGTACCATTATTCTGTCAAACGCTTTGTTTAACTGACTTTATCGTACGATATGAACTGTCAAATGATTACGATTGCTTTACACAATTCCACCTCAGATTTCATTCTCCAATAATTAATGAAATCTGATTGGTTATTCAAATACGCCTGTGGTTAAGTTTGTCTCATCATAATTGATTCACCGATAGCATTTCTTACCTTATTCTCATCCAGCAAAGTATTCAGCATGGTCTCCACTATAGCCGGGTACAGTGTCTTCACCGCCTCGGTGACGTGGCGCGGCGTCAGCGCGAGTTGCTCCTGGATGGCAAGCACCACCGTCATCAGGTCCAGCAGTATGGGCGATATCTTGTACTCTAATATGGCGTTTTGTTTGACTACCTCCTTGGCGAGAGCGCCGTGGACTGTTATTCTGAAAAATATATCTATATATATAAAAGAAAGCCGTGTGGTGACGGCAGAGTAGAATACATTTGTCACCAACCCCTACTCTTCCCGCGGGTGTCGTAAGAGGCGACTTAGGGACTACACATCAAACAGAGAATGGGCAGCAGCGCTCTCTGAAAAACATCAATCTTATAAACTGCGATCTCCAACCCGCCTGCCAAGCGTGGAGATTATGGCAAAACCCTCCACTATAGTGGAGGAGGCTCATAGTCCAGCAGTGGACTGTAAAGGGCTGTTGATGATATAAAAGAAAGTCGTGTTAGTTACTCCACTTATAACTCAAGAACGGCTGAACCGATTTAGCTGAAAATTGTCAGGGAGGTAGTTTAGAGCCAGGAGAAGGACATAGGATACTTTTTATCCCGTTCGAAATAAAAAAAAGTCTGCTTATTTATTGCCATTAAGGCGGAACAAAGTTCGCCGGGTCAGCTAGTTTGTTATAAATACAAAGAAATTGACGCAATCGTAATTTGAGTTTCTGGTCTGAGGGTTTCCGTATTTGCATTCATTAGTTGGCACCACTGGCAAGGGGTAGGATCTCACTCGACAGTGGCGCCAACTAATGTATGCAATCTGGTGTTGCAAATAAATGCGATATTCCAAACCGCTATAGCGCTCACCAGTAGGCGCCACTGTTTTAGGCACAAGCAAGTGACCTGTCACAAGGTCCTGATCTTACTTGCCAGAAAAGTCACGCCACTTGCTTGTGGGTTTGTCTAAATTATTTTAATTCAATCTTAATTCATAAATTATAATTAAGGCAGCAAGCACTTAGATTAAGTTCAATCAAATACGTAGTATTATTGTTTTTTAGTGTAGGTCTTGTTATAAATTAAATTATTAACGCCTACTTAAATTCTTTGTTTTGTCTAATTTTCTGGTTAGCTGGAAGAGAATGCCACATGGCATTAAGCTCGCCTGTTGTACCACTGTTTTTTTATGTGTGAAATAAAGATTTTAAATAAATAAAGAAATTTTAAGGCAGCTTTACTTACAAAATTTGCTTCCCCAAGTGTCCTCTCTCTGTAAAAATCCTCATGAACTCCGAATCATCTGTCACGTTGAACAGCGCGTTCCAGTCGATGTGTCTCGTTCCCTTCGACTCCCGCTTTACCAGCGTGTCGGTGAAGTTCTGCAGGATCTCGAAGTCTTTGTCTATGGTGTAGAGCTGGTCGGACACGTCCTTGCCGAAAGTCTCTTGGACCACTATGGATGCCATGTTGTTTATCTGAAAGTGTTCCAAATGATTATTATATTACTAATGCTCAATTAAGCAAAGCCTCTATACAGATGAGACATGGGATAATATATACGATACCTACTTATAAATTTACATAAATAACACACAAACATTGCCTCCAGTAGGATTCAAACCCGCAACTATTAAACTGAGTTGCACCATCTTACTTTTACTTTGACAAACGTCAAAAATGTAAAAATGCACCTATAATAATGTTACGGTTAAAATAAGGTGGTGCAACACGGCCTTAGTTACTTTAAGTTTAATTCGTCTTGTTTATTGAGGAAAGTAAGGAGGAAAAAATAAAAATAAAATAAAAGTATTCGTTTTGACTACAGCATCCCGGCCCAAAGAGTAGGCCTCACAACATGATTAATCCTGAAATGTAACGCCAGTCTAAAATAAATCGGGCACACAATATTATAGACGTGTTTCCTTTCTCTCGTATACTTCAATTTTTACTGGATATCTGGGGACACGGCAGTGCCCCCGCCAAGTCGAGCGCGAAGCAAACACTGCCGTACCATCCTTTACTGGAACCATTTTGCCGCATTTTCAGGTCTCTATTTGAGAACCTTTGGATAAGACCAGAACGCAGAAATTTTCGTCATCTAGTAAGCTATAATCACATACTTAAAATCCAAAATTTCAAGTCTGTAGGTCATTTAGTTCCGAAGTTAAGCGAAAGCAAAGTTTCGCATTTATGACACTCACTCACTGATGATCATCAAAATAGAACTAGTACTTCCCATTAACTCAGAGAGCTGAAATTTGGTACAGAGTTAGGGTTTAATGGCCACATAAAGGGAAAACTATAAAAACTAGGAAAATTGAAGATCTGGACTAACACCACATTCATAATCAATACTACTAGCGCCACACCGGCACCGTGGTGTTCGCCTGTACCGCTCACCGCTAGATGGCGCTAGCACTTTGAGCGTCTAGGAAATGATAAGCCTGTACCTGTCTATCAAGATTTAAACAATGAAACCAAGTGCCATACATGTATTTTGAAGATTCAAATGAAATCTACATTTTAAAAACATGTATGGCTTCCTTCACTGAGCAAAGCAAGTTTATCCAGACTGTGTTTAATTCGCACTATTTGATGTGTGTAATTTTTTTCCCCCTATTTCATATTAGGATTACTGATATATCATTAGCTAAAAAGACTATTGAAAATTAAAATTCTAAGTTGATTTGTTGAATTTATGAATATTTTTCATGATAACTTTGTGAATCATGATTTTATGAGATTTTTGCCAAAAATGCTACATGTTTTCTAAATATTGAAATAATACGTACTTATTAACAAATAATTTACATAAACATCGTTTTATTGTATTTAAATATAACCACTATTAATAATTATTAAACATAAACCCCTAAAAAGATTTTGTATTTTTTAATATAAGCACACATATGTACGGGCCTCTCAGGTCCCCACGTCAGTGTTTACGTGAAATTAAATCCACCTCAGTAGCTAAAGGTTAAGTTGAATGTTGTGTAATTATTTGCATTTCGTTGATATCGTTTATTATATCTTTAATTTAATTTTATTTATTTGGAAAACAAAACAGATTACATTCTTTACATGGTTTAAATAATACTTAAATGTAGATATAGACTAAAATGTAACCCTAAATGAGTATTTCTCAAAAAAAATGTACGTAACGAAATAGTAGTAACGAAATAGTAAGGCCATAAGGCTTGTTATACATTGGCGAAATATTGTGAATGCTCTTCATTTATTCAATTCGAAATATTTGTAAGTATGCACCCAAATACGGGTTAGAAATAAAATAAGGGAGTAATCATTCATACTATTTTAATAAAATTATTTTTGTTCCATCATGTTTATCCATTTTGAGTCGTTCTCTGTAAGCTTTTTGCCTTTCGGCATTGGTTTTTGGTGGCATTCCTAAAAAAACAAAAGAAGTAATCACATAAAAA